ATTCCTTCTAGCTCCATCTGCATTGCTGTGAATGGCATGACTTTATCTTTTTTGATTGCTGAGTAATATTCTGTTGTGTTTCTACACCACATCTTCTTGATCCAGTCATCTATTTTTGGACATTTGGATTGTTTCCAGGTTTTACTTGTTGTAAATAGTGCTGCAATAAACAGAGGGGTACAGGTGTTCTTTTGAATCAAATTTTTTGTGTCCTTTGGGTAGATCCCTAGGAGTGGAATTGCCAGGTCATATGGTAGTAGTTTTAACAATATTAAGTATCATCTGTGTTTACAATTTTCACACATGAGGCATTTTCAGAAGGGAATAAGTCATCTTTAAGATCCACACAGACACTAAGATTTTTGTGAGCGAGTGTTTGCGTGATTTAATTTGTTCCTTATTCAATTTACTTTGACATATAACTCTATAAATTCAGTTATTCATAGGAAATATTTACAAAGATCAACGAGTGTTGTCTCCTTGTGCTACTCAGAAATCAACATTTTTTGCCTTTCATGTTGATTTGATTCCATGTATATTTCCAAAATGTTAATAAGGATGAGTGTTGTTCCCCCTGCACTTTAACCATCCTTAAATGTAAGATTAAAACTCTTTAGATAACTACCCCCCTCCCCCGCCCCCTGCAATATAAGGTAGAGTTGTTTGGTAACAATAAATTCTAAAAGTTACAGCATAATTTCGAATATAATTTCTTTAGGAATAAAAGTGTGGATCACAATAGTATAGATAAAGAATCATAGTAACAAGAAACTCTGAACAATCAGGGATTTTCATTTATTTATAAACTATTAAGTTTAGGAATACTGGAAGAAGCCTTGCAACTGAAAATATTTTATTACAATAGAATTTTCCAGAGAGTCTACATTCCCATTTGTTTCATTATCATTTATTAATTTTTGTTGTTGTTAGTGAATGACATCAATTGTGGTAAACTCCCTGCAATGTGACTATAATCCATGAGTTAGTAGCCCCTCTAAGGAGCCAAAGATAGTCTTATTTATTATTTACCAACTCTTCACACACTAGTTATGTTTTCTTAAACACTTGGCAATCTGTTAAAATTCTGTCTGTGGTAAAACACAGTGTCTTCTAGAAGAATAAAAGCCAAGTGCGTCCCTGCAGGGCACACTGGAGAAAGAAAGTATTGTTGCTCATGTGGAACATACACAGTGTTTCCAAGTGGACACAAATTCAAAAGTTCTTTATAAAATCACTCTATGGTCAGCTGATAAACTTTAATTTGCAACCTCTTTTTTGAAGGGCATGGCTAAGGCTGCTTTGTCCAGATTGTTCTCCTTGTTCATAATATCAGCTGAGTAACATTTATCTATTCCTGCAAATGACTTAGTGATGACTAGAGAAGTGAGGGTGGGAAACCAAGGCATTCAGCGATACTGATAAATATTTCATTTGGGAGGTTCAGGAGCAGGTATATCAGTTGCTGCTTCCATTTGAATAGCAGTCAAAGCGTCTTGTAAATAATGTGATTGGAAGGCGTAGTAGTCTTTTAAACCTAGGAAATTTGCAAAACTTAGGGAGAGCAACACATGAGCTTTGTTTTTTCTATTTTCTTTCTTCATGAGGAAGATGCCAAGGATAATTTTGAAAGACACGGAAATTTTTAATATCATTACCTCCCTCGTATCTCTTAACAGTCTCACTTGATTTTTTTAAACTGTATTTCCAGTAGCTACAGACTTCCACAAAGTCTGTATTTCCAGTATCTGTTACTTTACCTTTTATCTAATCACCCCCTATCTAATGCCCCAGACCATCTGTCTAGGAAGGTCAGGGGCACCATAGAAAGATTCCATGGGTAGTGTATTCAACAAGTGGTCATTTTTCTTGTAGTGTAAGAGCATGTCATGTCCCACAAGAAAATCCAGCTTGTTCATCTAAAGATTGAGTCCTCTAGTCCCATATCTGCCAACTCAGCTGACTGGGGTTTGCTCTTATTAGAGAAAATTAAGCATCGACAGAAGAATTGCCAAAGTAGACTAAGAATTTTCGAAATGGTTTATATAACTCTTCACCCTTTTTGTCTTAACCATTACCCAGGAAGAGACTGAGGGGGGATGACCTCTTTCTGGAGACAGTTGCATTTGTTGGCCCAAAATACTGCCCAAAGTATGTAGATAACAAGAGTTTAAGTAAATAATATGAAACGCTTTGAGTCAGTTTTTGTGGAGTATGTCTAATACTCATTAATTCAGATGTCTGTAGATGGGAGTCTGGGTGATCCAGAAGTATTTTGACTATAACCTTGTCATTAGTGGGTATATAATTTTCAGATTAGATTAGTTAAAGAATTTACCATATGACAGGAGCTCAAGTACTATAATCATATGACCAGAACAGCTAATTGAAATGGAGCAGAAATCCCATTACTTTTAAAGGTGGTGAACAATGGGTACTTGTGATTGATAGCCCTGAGAACTGTTAAGATTGGATGTGCTGAAATTTCTAGCATGAGGTAGAGTCAATATGCCTTTTGCAATGTGGAGATAAATGTGTCGATAAATATGTCAACCTTTAGCATGTGTCCCAAGTCTAGCATGCCTCTTCATAATAAATGAATAATTCTTCACTTGTGTCTGGACTATGATGGTAGATGTAGAACCATGATTAAATCAGTGACTGCAGTTTAGCTGGATTCCTGACATTCTGGGTGTATGTCTTATCAGGAGTTTGATTTTGGTAATGTAGGTATCTGTGTGAATAGTCTAGATGATTCATTTAGTAGATGTAATTTAGTTTCCTGGTTTATTTTTAGTAAAGCAGGAGGTGTTTAATCCGACCTATAGTAATTCTGCCTTGTAATAATTCTACAACTGTAGTAATTCTGAATTTCACACCAGATAGCTAGATTGTAACATCATTTATCAAAAAGAGAATAAGCCAGAGCAGTGAAACTTAACCTTGAGTTCTACCCACTGAATTGATCAATCAATCTTAGTTTTTCCTTACTGGTGCTGAACCAAGCTGTCAGCTGGATCCTATGAGTTTACACAACCATGAGAATAGCGGTTGCAGGCCTTTGGAGAGCCTCCATGAATTCAACTGAGCCAACGACTTTGCTTTATATGACATCCAAAACAATAATTTAGTGCTTTTTCATGTCAAATTGAGAGGCAAATGCAGCCTTTTAATTCTTGACTATACCATTTTGACTTGATAAATGAAACCATCTGGATCTTCCCTAAATGTTGGTTTTATAGGTTGAGTTGATCCACCTCACAGAGGAGAGTATAAGATCAGAGATTCATTAGAGCTCTTCCAGTAGGTATTCAGTGTTTACAAGAGGCCAGAGGCAAACTGATTGTAGCTCTTGAAAAGGGATACATCTGGTAACTCAGAGAGACTGCCCTTCCTTGCCTTTCACACAGAGCCTTTAACGCAGAAACTTAAAATGAAGATGATAAAGGATGATAAAGGACTCGTTAGGGTTCTTTGTCCCTTTTATTGCACATTGTAGAAGCAAAATGATAGTACATTGAATCAATCCAAATTTGATTGGTATAGCTTCCTGGGTCTACTATGATCTCTGCCTAAAATCTGATCAACTGAATTCAGAAATCACCATCACAAAACCATATGAAACTGACTTGGGTATCTGGTTCTAACAGTCACAGAAGTTTGACTCCAAGTGCCCCAGGAAATTAGAAGGGGTATATGTTACTTATGATTCCTTTTGGGAATGTAGTGAGGTTGGCCCTAACTCTAGTCACTTTTCTTCTTAAAGTGGCTAAAGTCAGAGTATGCAGGCTACGCAGGGAGAAATGAGTGGTCATGAAGATAGAAAAAGTAGGTCTTTATCAGTAAGCAAGGCATAGTTTCTCCTAAATTAGGGCAGCTTAGCATGCTTAGCCAGACGTGATACAGCTTTGTCTTAAAGTCTTCACTTCTGCTTGGAGGTTAATGCTGAATACAAGTAGATATTAAAGATTAGTTTTATGTAGGACCTTTTAAACACTTAAGTGCTTTCCTTTATCATTTTCTCCATTGTCGTGCTTTTCTATGCCTTCTTCCCCGTGATTATTGATTCTTATCCCAGGCTACTGAAGTCAACATTTGTGTCTTTACTACTTTAATATTTCCTGATACATCTCTTCCAAGTGTAAAAAAAAAGGGGAGGGAGGGGAAGTGTATGCACAGATTTCCCAGGCAACTGCCTGAAAAGGATAAATTGGCCTGTAATTAATTTGAAAGTAGTGTCTTTGTTGTTCCCTGTAGTCCTAGTAGCCTGTCTTAAGAGTATGGCTGCTCTCCCATGACCACTAACTAGTGTAAGAGTACAGGAGATAGAACCTTAAAATCCCACAGTGTTTTCTTAAAAAGCAGTTGCTTTTTTATTCACTAATGTACTCATTGTGTTGTTTTAGAAGATTCAGTAGGTCTGTAGAGGTTGATTCTGATCAATTCTGCCAATACATTAGTTGTTGGAGGAACAAAATTTGCAGTTTCCTTTTGTACTATTATGGCAGTTGCTTGCCTCCCTTTTTCCCCCTTTGATTCAAAGAAGGATCCTCTTTTTTTTGTAAAGATTTATTTATTTATACAAGAACTGGGGTACAGTCAGAGGCACGGGAGGGTGAGAGAATTCACCAGAAACAGAGTGGGGAGCAGAACAGGCAGACAGACCGAAGACATTGCAGTGGGCGTAGACAAGAGAGGTCTGCCACACCATGTGGGTCTCTCCCGGACCGGCCGGGAATCGAACCTGTGCTGCAGAGGCTGCGGACAGCATCACAGCATGGCACTTAACCTGCTGTGCCACTTGGGGATTCTAAGAAGGATCATTATTATATAAACCTCAACTCAAAGGAAAATAAAAAAAAAAACCCTGATTGTATGATATAGAGAAAATAAAAGTACATTTGAATATGAGCACAGTGATATAGAAAATTGTATTTTTCTCTGTGGTGTGGTTTTCTTCATTGAATTTGATTTGACTCCACATTTTTTTCTCATTCCTCTAGTTTGTGATTGGCACAATGGAAGAAGCTGAAACCTGTGGGGTAGGGGAAAAAGCAGGTATGTTGTGTAACATTAAATCAAATGATATTCTTCAACATCAGAACTCAAACTGTGTGGGCCCAAATAGCTAATTAAAAGAGGATGAAAGTGGTGACTTCATAACAAAAAACAGGGCTTTGGTGAACACGCCTTTTTGCACACAAACCCCAAACGAGAAAATTCCTGGACAGGAAGCTCGAATAGACGCTCCTGATGGTCAGCAAGACTCACTGTGCCATAAGAACAAAGAAAAAACCTTAGGTAATAATCTCTACTCAGTGATAATATGTTATCACTGACTGCTCATATTTTTTTTGCAATGCAGGTGATTGTGAACCTAGCAAGTGTGAGATGAATGTTTAGTTAATATATTATTTTCCAGGTCAGTCGAGCTCTTTGCTATAATTGTTGATAGATGCAAGACACAAAAACATAGTAGGGTTTTGGTTGCTTAATTTGCTTAGCAAGGAGTTGTGAGTACTTTTTTATATTCCCATAAATTTTGTACTTTTCATGAGAGGGCAGCGGAAAATATATTTGGAAACAAATTCTAAATTATAGTCATATACAAACAGTTACAAAATAGGCATAAAATGAAAGTTCAAATAGAAAGTAATTAAAATTATCTTAAGAAGCTTAAACTATTACATTTTTGTGAAATTACCATTCACATTACTGTATTTCTTTTACATTTAATAATTATTTTTTCTTCATTTTTATGTGGTGGTCAACTTAATGAGTGAAGTAAGTGCTAAATGAGTGAAGTAAGTGCTAAAACTTCATGTTCATAGAAACGTATTATTTTGAAGTTAGCCTATTCCTCCTCCCCCCAATAAAAGTCTATAAATTATACCAAATAGACCTGATGTAAACATTCAAAAATCCTAGATATAAGAGCTAACAGGAAATAAAAAGATGTGCCTTCCCACTGGGAAAGATGTAGAACATTACAACATAATTTGAAGCCCTGTGAGCTCCCATGTTGTAGCTACCTGCTCCTTCATGGGGAGAGCTATTTTGAGTTCCGTATTACTTTCTTTGGCCCTAAACTTGATTAATATCCAAGTAAATCATCACAAAACACTAATTCACACTTGATTATAGGAGAGGTTATTTGTCACAGGGATTATGTGCTAAATCTGCCTACTTAGATAGGCAGAATATGATAGCTGGACAGTGTTTTGAACTTCTCTATATTTGAAGTTGCCTAGGAGAAGGCTTATAAAAAATTCCTATCTGTGTTTAAATGCTATATAGCTGATTGCTACCAGTTAGTTGGTAAATGAAGAAATTTTTGTGTGGGGGTGGGAAAGTGATTGCTACTAAATTAGAATTTAAAAATTTTCTTAGTCAATTTTATTTCTAGTTATAGTCTTAAATTGTACTCTAGCTATCTTAAGCACTAGGTAGAATTTTCAGACAGAATTGTTTTCATCCCTTTGGAACTTTTTTCCCTTTTATTATCAGGAAGAGAAGTATTAGTATTGATGCAAGCCTTAAACACTCTTTCAACCCCAGAGGAGAAGTTGGCAGCTCTTTGTAAGAAATATGCTGATCTTGTGAGTATTAAGGGAGCGGAATCATATGAAAATACAGCAAAATATGTGTGCTTAATAAAATTTCCAGGTAGAATTTGGATACAACCTCTAAATGTAAAACTATTTATTACAAACTTAGAGGAAAGAATCTAGTTTTGTGGGACTTATGTTGCTTGTAACATCTGACATAGCTCATTTTAACATATGATGTGTAAAACATTTTAATGCTTTCTGAAATGTGGGATAAATTATCTTAAATATTTAATCAACATTAACATTTCTAGATCACTATTTTCATTTGTATCTTAAAGTGCTTGACAGTTGGAAGGATGTGATTTTTACATTGAATTCAGGAATTTTAGACATGAATGAAAGAACAAAGGTTTAGCTATTTTATTTTAGTTCACATTATGAAGTACCTGATATAGTCTAATAAAACAGGAATTTCTCTTTTTTGATTAAACTTATTTTCTTACATTGCTCATTTTTGTAAAACACTTGATTTCCCTCTCATGTGTAGTTCCATGTATTTCCCTCCACCTCATCGTCTGTGAACCAACTGCATAGTCCCTTGTTCGCTTCCTTCTCCTATTTTGACCCATTTTCCTCCCTCTGCAGCATGCTTCATGTCTATACCTTGCCTGCAAGTTTTTTCTTTTCTTTTTTTTTGACATTTTGTTCAATTTCTTTGTTTCTCTTGTTAAGTGAAGCCATCTGATATTTTTCTTGTTTCTTCTGACTTACTTCACTAAGTGTAATCCCTTTCAGCTCCATCTGTTTGCTGCAAATAGCATGAATTTGTCTTTTTTTATTGCTCAGTAATATACCATTGTTGTATATGGGCTACATTCCCCCTTTCCTTGCTTCTTTAGTCAGTATAAATGAGCTTATAGCTGCTGAGTTATGGATGGAGGCTAGCATACTGACTCACTCTTACCATTTATTGATATGACCATATGGTATTATATTTCTCTTTGTTGGTGTTTTTGTTGGTATCCTCATTATCTCTTGTAAACTTTTTTGTTGGTTTTTGTTAATGTTGAACTGTGTTGATTTTTTTTTTTTTTTTTTTTTTGATGTTGAACTATTACTGTGTCACTGGTATAACTCCTACTTGGTCGTGGTGTATGGTCCTTTTAATGCATTTTTGGATTCGGTTTGCTAGAATTTTCCTGAGAATTTTTACACCTCCATTCATTGGGGAGATTTATCTGTAGTTTTCTTTTTGTGTGTTGTGTTTGATTTTGATATTCCTATAATGTTTGACTCATAAAATGTGTTTGAAAGTATTCCTTTCTCAGTTTTTTTAGAAGAATTTGAACAAAGTAGATATTCATTCTTGAAGATTTGATAGAATTCACATGTGAAGTTATCTGATCCTGTACTTCTGAATTGGGGGAAAGTTTTCATTACTGTTTCATTTTCCTCACTAGTGATTGGTTCATTGAGGATTTCTGTTTCTTTCCTAGTATGTCTCAAGTGATACATTTTTCTAAGAAATTTTCCACCTCTTCTGTCTTTTTAATTTTTTAGGATATAACATTCATACTAATTACTAATTATCCTCTGAGTTTCTGCATAGTTACCATTTTTCACATTTTGTGTCCATTTTGATTTTCAATTCTGCCTATTTGGGGTTTCACTTTTATTTTTTCAGATAGCCTTGTTTGAGGTTTTTCTTTTCTTTTTTTTTTTTTTTTTTATTTGGAATAACCAGGTTTTGTTTTCCTCAACCTTTTGGCCTTTTTGATTTTTATGAATTACTCTGCTGTGATTTTCATTCTGTTCTACTTACATTTGCATTTGTTTCTTCTGATTTTTCTAATTCCTCAAGATGGAACAGAAACTTATTAATTTGAGCTATTTCTTGTTGACCTGTATTATTTGATACTTCCTTTTTAGCACTGCTTTTGTTGTATTTCATGAATGTTGGAAAGTTGTATCCTCGTTGTATTTTGGCTTGAGGTATTTTTTTATTTCTTCTTTGATTTGTATATTGACCCAGTAGTCTTTCAATAGGGTGCTGTTCAGTCTGTCGCTGTTTTCTTTTGATTTTTTACTTATAGTTTGATGCCTTTATGGTCCTTGAAGATTTTAGGTATAGTTTTAGTCTTCGTGAATTTGTGAATATTTGTTTTGTGACCCAGAATGTGATCTGTTCTGGAGAATGTTTGATGTGCATTTGGGGAAAAATGTGTGTCCTATTTTTATAGGTACAGTTTTAGTAAATTCTGTGAGGTCCTTACACTATAATTCTTTGTTTAAACCAATTATGTGCTTGTTTACTTTTTGCCTAGTTAAATTGTCTGTTGGTAAGAGTGTGTCCCCTGACATATACATGTTTTTCCAGTGTCTGTTTTTAGAGTTGATAATAATTATCTAATATATTTTGGTGCTCCCTTATTTGGTGAATATGTGTTGGTGAGTGTTATGTTTTCCTGATACTGTTTCCTTAATCATTATGTCGTACTTGCCCCTGTTTCTTGTTACCTTTTGAAAAGGAAATCTGTTTTGTCTGATGTATATATGTTGTCTGTATGTATGAGTGTTTCAATGTCTTTTGCATCCTATTGCTTTTAGGATTGTTTTCCAGCCCTTTATTTTGAGCCTATGTTGTGTTCCACTCTTTGATTTGTACGTATGCCCTTTCAGTATTTTGGGGGGAGGTGTATTAGTATTTGCAAACTCGTTGATTTCTTTGTCTGCAAAGGCCTTTATTTTTACCATATATCTCAGAGACAGTCTTGCACAGTATTCTTGACTGGCAGCTTTTATCCTTTATATGTCCTTCTATTCCCTCTTTGTCTGAAGTGTTTCTTCAGAGAAGTTCAGGGTTCCTTTATAGGATATTTGCATGGTCCCTATTGCCCACTTCATTAGTCTTTATTTGGAAGTTTCATTTGTAAATTTTCCATTTTTTGTTAACATAACCTCTTGACCACCAGAGTCAGGCAATTAAAGTTTCATGTTTGGGTGACAACAAATAGAATATCATATTTAAATGTTGGGGCCTCAGATACCTCGGCATGCTCCCTTTTGAGATACCATCACTCTGGAATATGGCAGAGGAAGAACACTTCTGATCACACATGCCCACTAGATGCTGGTATTACAGCCTCTCTTAGTTGTGATATTAATTAGAAGTCTGCCTCTCAGACTGTAGTTATGAAAATAATCTAGAAAGCCTTTTTCAGAAAGACTGAGTATTACAGTTAACTGGTTTTGAACTTAACGTTGGAGTGAGTGAGTCTCCACATGCAAACCCAACAAGAACTATTAATCTAGTTTGTTGTAGTCTCATGAGTTTCTTGAGCTCAAGACCAGATGAGTTTCAAAGCTAGTTGTTTTGGGGGCTTGGTGTTCCAGTGTTCATATTAAAACTTGGGGTGTTTTATGTGAGACTTAAATCTTAAATTCCTCAGGGAGAACAGTGATTTAAGCTCCTTCCAATTTTAAGCTGTTTTGCTATGCTCCTGGTTTATGATGTGATTTCGTCTCAGTGTCTCCTAGAGACAATATCTTTTTTCCTATATACACAAAATATAGTAGTTTTTCCATTTATTTTGGGGTTTCTTCAAGAGGAAATTGTTTCATTTGTCATTGTAGGTTCATTAGGTCAATGGGAGGATATGAGTTCAAAATTCTTTTACGTTGCATTCTAGAAATTGAATTCTCTGATCATATGGTAAAAGATTCTGACCTCAATAACTTTGGCTGGATATGGATCATGTTTTTAGTTCATCCTGCCAATTTCAGCTATTGAGTTTAATCCCTGTATATTTGAAGCCATTATTGATGAGGAAGAATTAAATTTTACCACTTTCCCCTTTGTTTTCTACAATTGCAATTCTGATTTTAGTTGAATTTTTATGGTAGATCATTTTAATTATCTTATTTCATTCTGTTTGTATTCCGTGGCCATTTTTTGTAGTAATTATAGAATTTACATTTGATTTTCTGATGCTATTAACGTTTTTACCAACTTAATTTCAGTAGTGTACAAAGAAATCTGCTCTTTACATCTTGACTCCACCCACTTTCAGTTATTAATGTCACTAAGTCCCACATTTATACATTGTATCTATAAGACAATTTAATGTTTTAATGAATTAAAAATTTTTTAATGTATTGGCTCTAAAACTATGTAGAAACACAATTGGAGTTTTAAATGTTTTATACTGGCTTTTATGTATATATTTCTTCTTCTTTCCTTTTCACTTAGAGGTGGTTGCAATGGTGGTCGTCCTCTGTATCTGCACTTTTGTGATCAGATATAGTAATCAAATATCTGTATATCAAATTCCTGAACTTTGCAGGGCTGAGTTATTCAAGAACTCTAGGAATTTCACTGTCATGAGGCTTGCAATGGAAAAGTTATATTTGTTCTAATACTATTGTCTTAAATGAACTGAAATTAACCTGGAAGTTACAAGTCTTAATCGATCCCCAGAGTTTTGGAATAATTTTCTGCCTTTGCACTTGTTTAGATGTTCAGAAAAGATTCTTGGCACTTTCTACTGTGCTGATTTCTCTGGTCTCCCTTCAACTTGTTCTTCCTTGATTCATATTCTTTGAGTACCTCATCACTCTTTATCCCTGGACACCCTTTCTTTGTTCTGCTTATGTGCTACAGGACTTTCAGAGTCACAAAAACAGATATCCCTTTTAGGCAGTAATGCAGCATACTTGTTGAAGTATTCCAGTAATTCTTCTGTTATAGTAACTGCATAAAACCTCTAATAGATTGAGTATATACTTTGTCCTTACTTCACACCACCTTCTATCTTTATATTCCCCTTAGATTTCATCAACCATAAAATAATAACTCTTCCGTGTACATAATAATATCTATATATGTTTATGTATCTATGTAGATATATGTGTGTGTGTGTGTGTGTATTCCTTTTCTTTTTTGTTCATCCATTCTACCTGCCTGAGTATCCAAATATAAAATTAAGCAGGTGAACATGCAGCTTCATTATTGTGTGATCACTTTAATGCTTCCTTCGCCGTTGTCACTGAATTACTATAATGCTTACACAGTTTTCAGTACCTTTTTCATTAACTATAAACCCTTAAGCTGTCTTCTGTCTCCTTCTCAGCAGAGACTATGGATTTTATTTCTTAAGAGCAAAGAGAAGCCATCAGATTGCAGATGGCTATTTTAAATTTGACTGTGTTCAATCCCCAGCCAGGGAGGTGATTCACATTCACGCAGCAGACCTCTCCTCTTTCTCTACTGTTCCATTCAGCAGTGTATTTCAGTCAATCCTGCTGTGCCGTTCCCCACTCTGTGAGTCCTCTCACCCCTCACACCTCTGGTGTACACCCTAGCTCTTATATACATAAATAAATAAATCTTTAAAAATAAATAAATAAAATCACTAAAGTGATCACACAATAATGAAGCTCCGTGTTCACCTGCTTTGTTTTATATTTGGATACTCAGGCAGCTAGAATGGATGAACAAAAAGGAAAAGGAATATACCTACTTTTATTAATCCAACGCCGAAGACATATTCATTTCAGTTAATATATTCATGCAATAAGGCAATTACTTGTGAGTACTAATAGCAGTAATTTGTTATTGCTGTTACCACTATAGATACAGGGCCTCCCTGGTGGTGCAGGCGGTTGAGCGCAGTGCTGTGAAGCTGTCCATAGCCGCTGCAGCTTGGGTTCAATCCTGGCCCGCCAGCGAGGGTCCCACTTGGTGCAGCATGCCTCTCCTGTCTCACCCGCTGCTCCCCTCAGCAGTGTATTTCGTCAGTCTGCCTCTTCTGTTTCCCTGCTCTGTGCTCTGTCTCTGGTGAATCCGCTCACCCTCCCGCTCATCTGGCCTGTACCCTGGTTCTTGTATGCATGAATAAATAAATCTTTAAGAAAAGAAAACCAACACTGTGGCATGTGAGGACATTTAAATTGTGTTTTGTGCAAGTTTCAGACTATCATTGTTGTGGTTAGACTGATCCATATACTTTTTATTATGACTTCAAGATACCTTTTTGCTTGAATCACTAGGAAACTTCGGAAAATATAGATGAGACCACAGTAAAGTCATTAAGGAGGGAGAGAGAAGTGCTCAAGGGAAATGAATGTGGGGGGAGTGTCATGAACTTAAGTTTTTCTGATGAATTTAAAGCTTAAGAGCAGAAATTTAAAACTGAGGAAAAGGAAAAAAAGTAATTGACTCAAATGAGATTACTGAAATCAGTGAAGTGCTTTGAAATAAAGGCGCCTGAGTATGGGTGTTCCATTGGTTGTGACAACGAGGTTGTTGGTGGATGAGCCTCACTGTTACACATGTGTGACACACATAGTGGGGACACTATGATGAGCCAGGAACTGCAACTAGTGTAAGAATTGAAATACCACATGCAAATAGCAATAAGCAAGCAAACTGAGCAAAAAATAAATACAGAAAATAAAGACACAGGCCAGCTAATGGGAGCAAAACTGCAAGAGTTAAAGAAACATGCTAAGTCCTGCCAGCAGCAAACAGGCTTGGGATTTATCAAGGACAGATAAGCAACAAAATCAGCTTCCAAACAAGCCCACACGGGTTGGATCCCGAATGATTTGCCACTGGTGAAGATAGCTTCAGGGTTTTTATAGTTACACTCAAGCTTTGGGCCTAGGGCATAAGCTGTGGTTATTGTTCAGTTTCTTGATTGGTCAACTGTGGCCAATGCCCTAACATAGCCTAGCTGGTGATAGTGTCAAGGACATTTCTTGTTAATGAAGAAATGTCTCTCAGGATTCCATTTTCTCTTGTTATGTCTCTCAGGCTTCCATTTTCTTGTCAGGGTCTAACCCCTCATGGAAAGGTAGCCTAGCTTTTTATCTAGTACTTTTATTGACAGTGTATTTATTGATGGGGTACTTTCTAAAGGGATACTTCTTTTAAGCACTTGTCTCTGCAATCAAAAATTTTTTTGTTTGCTATAAAACTTTCTATTTTTCATGGGTTATTGTTTCAGTTAACCTTTAGTATTTTTACACATTTTATGTATTTAATTTTCTTTTACATCTGTAAAGAGGTCGACTTATAGGTAATTTTTATATAACTCTATAGTCAGCGTATTTATGTTGTGCACATAGACATATAGCCCTAGTTTGGTCTATTGTGCTTTGCTTTATTGCACATCTATTGCATTCTTTACAGATTGAAGGTATGTGGCAACTGTAGCATCTTTTTTTCAATAGCAAGTGCTCCCTTTGTGTCTGTGTCACATTTTGTAATTCTCACCAATTTCAAGGTTTTTATTATTTTTGTCTGTTCTGGTGATTTATGAGAAGTGATATTTGATGTTAACTCTTGTAATTGTTTTGTGTGCCATGCACTGAACCCAGCAAATTTAATAAAATGTGTATTCTAAGTGCTTCACAACCAAATAGTCACCCATTTCCAGCCATCTCCTCCCGCTCCCTATTTGCTAAGACACAGCAAAGGTGAAATGAGGCTACTTACCACTTTTATGTGTTTCAGTAAAAGAGAGAGTTGTGTCTCTCTCACTGTAAATCAAAAGCTGGAATTGGACCTTAATGGTCAGAGAAGATGGTCAGTATGATTTCAATCTTGGTGTATCTGTTGATTATTGTCTTGTGTTCCAGTATGAGAACGATACTGGAGAATGAGCCGCGTGCACTTGAGAAAAATGAGTACTCAGATTTTTTTTTTGGGTTTTGTGTTCTTTAGATGTCAGTTAAGCCCATGAGGTCTAGATCCTTATTTAGAGCTTAGGTGTCCTGACTTATTTTTTGTCTCTTTGATCTAACCATTGTTCTTTTTTAAAGATATATTTATTTATTGCCAACAGAATCCAACAATGCAGCCATAAAATAAATCACCACGGCCAAGTAGGATTTATTCCAGGGACACACACATGGTTCAACATCCCAAAATCAATCAATGTAATCCAACCCATCAACCAAAAGAAATACAAAAACCATATGATAATATTCATAGATGCTGAGAAAGCATTCGACAAAGTACAACACCCATTTATGATAAAGGCCCTTTAAATTCTCGGGATACAAGAAACATACATCAACATCATAAAAGCCATCTATGACAAGCCCATAGCCAGTATCATTCTATATGGTGAAAAGCTGGCTGAAAGCATTTCCATAAAGATCTGGAACAAGATAAGGGTGTCCTCTCTCACCACTGCTTTTCAACATAATACTGGAAGTCCTAGCCAGAGCAATAAAACATGAGAAAACAAGGAATCCAAATAGGCATGGAAGAAGTCAAACTATCACTATTTGCAGACAATATGATAATATACATAGAGAATCCAAAAACGCCACAGAAAACTAATTCAACTAATCAATCAGTTTAGTAAAGTGGCAGGATACAAAATCAACACACAAAAATCAGTAGCCTTCCTATACATAAACAATAAATCTGAAGAAGAAGAAATCAAGAAAACCATTCCTTTCGTTTTTGAAACAAAAAAAATCAAATACCTGGGAATATACCTAACAAAAGAAGTAAAGGATCTATACAAAGAAAATTATAAAACACTGTTAAAAGAAATAGAAGAAGACACAAAGAAATGAAAAGACATCCCCTGCTCATGGACTGGAAGAATTAACATCATTAAGATGGCCATCCTACCAAAAGCAATATACAGATTCAATGCTATTCCAATAAAAATTTCAATGACATTCTTCAAAGAAATAGAACAATATTGATGAAATTCATACTGAATCACCAAAAACCCTGAATAGCCAAAGCTTTTCTGGAAAAAAAAAAAAAAGAAGGGAATGAAGGCAGCACACAGCACACTCCCAGACTTCAAACACCAAACTATACTACAAAGCCATAATCATCAAAACTACATGGTATTGGAACATGAACAGACATGCAGACCAATGGAATCAAATAGAAAATCCAGAAATAAACCCACAGATTTATGGTCAACTAATCTTTGACAAAGGAGCAAAGAATATGCACTTGAGGAAAGAAAGTTTGTTTAATAAATGGTGCTGGGAAAACGGGGTCATTACATGCAAAAGAATGATGCTTGACCACTACCTTACCCCATGCTCAAAACCAATTCAAAATGGATTAAAGAGCTGAAGCCATAAAATACATAGACCTGAAACCAGAAAATACAGGCAAAACACTATATGACATGCACCTCAAAGACATCTTTACAGACACATCATCCAAAGCAGTGATAGTGAAGGCAAAGATAAACAGCTGGGACTACATCAAATTAAAGATCTTCTGCACCGCAAAAGAGACAATAACCAAAACAAAGAGAAACCCCACCAACTGGGAGAACATTTTTGCACACAACACTAACGATAAAGGACTGATTAAAAAATCTACAAAGAGCTGATGAGACTCAACAAAAATAAAGAAAATTATCCTGTCAAAAAATGGGCAGAAGAGCTAAAAAGAAACTTCTCTGAAGAGGAAATGCAAATGGCCAACAGGCATATGAAAAAATGTTCAACCTCACTTGTAATCAGGGAAATGCAAATCAAAACTACCATGAGATTCCATCTTACACCAGTGAGAATGGCACATATTAAAAAAACTAGCAACAACAAATGTTGGCGAGGTTGTGGAGAAAAAGGAACTCTCCTGCACTGTTGGTGAGAGTGCAAACTGGTCCAACCATTATGGAGAGTTGTGTGGAAATTTCTTGACCTAGTAAATATACAGCTTCCATATGATCCAGCAATTCCACTCCTAGGCATTTACCCAAATGACACAGAAACAGTAATTCCAAAGGGCACCTGCACCCCTATGTTTATAGCAGCACTATTTACAATAGCTAAGCTATGGAAGCAACCCAAATGCCCAAAAATAGATGACTGAATCAAGAAGATGTGGTACATATACACAATGGAATATTACTCAGCAATCAAAAAAGATAAACACATGCAGTTTGCAGCAACATGGATGGAGCTAGAAGGAATCATGCTCAGTGAAACAGTCAGAAAGAAGAAGAAAAATACCGGATGGTCTCACTCATAGCAGGAATTTAGAAAACCTAAATAAGAGACCAGGAAAAAGACTAATCAATACAAAGTAAAAATCAAAATCAACAAGCAACTATAAACGACAGACACACTATGGGGGAGGGGGGTAAAGGAGGAGCGGGGAAAGGAAGGACTAGAGTCAAAATAAGGAGGGAGGTGCAATTGCATGGGGAATATTACCGTAACGAAAATGCATACATTGTGCAAAGATAGAAAAAGATGTAAGAATTATATAAAATAAAATAATTAAATAAAAAATACTTCATTGTAAAATACTAACCATTATTGACCCTTCAGCACATCAGTCTTTTTGCTAGTGGAGGTTCTGGTCTTGATGCTGATTGCTGCTGACTAATAGAGTACTTGCAAGACTAAGGCAGCTGTGATAATTTCTTATAAGAAATGAAAGAAGTATCCTGCAACCACTGAATCTTCATTTCACAAAACATTACTCTGTAACATGTCTGTTTGATAGCATTTATTCCACTGAACTTCTTTCAAAATTAGAGTAAAATCTGACATCCTTTCAAATTATGCTGCTTCATTACCAAGTAAGTTCATGAAATATTCTAAATCCTTTATTTTCAACAATGTCCACAGCATATTCACCAGGAGTAGATTGTAATTCAAAAAACCACTCTTTGCTCATCCATAACCTTTAACTCTGGGCGTCCCTGGTGGTGTAAGCAGTTAAGTCTCAGCACTATGAAGCTATCAGCAGCCACTGCAGGACAAGTTTGATCCCTAACCTGGGAGCTACCCATAGGAAGCAGCAGACTCTCCTGTCTTACGTGCTGCTCCCCTCAGCAGTGTAATTCAGTAGACCCATCTTTCTGCTTCCCACTCTATCTCTGGAGAATCCTCTTAAGGTAGAGCCCTATCTCCCACCCCATCTCTTGTCTACACCCCAGCTCTTGTATGCATTTAAAAAAAATTATTTTAGAAGTAACTTCTCATCCATTTAAAGGTGTATTTTAGTTTATTATGACATTGCAGCCTATCAGTCCTATGAATCACCATATTTTTAATGACATCTAAATATGGAAGCCTTTCCCAAAGGTTTTCACATGATTTTGAACAGACCCATCAGAGGAATCATTCCTATTGGCTGCTAGAGCTTTATAAAATCAGTACCTTAAATAACGATTTGAAAGTTGAAATTATTCCTTGACTCTAAAGAAGAAAAATGGATGCCTGTGTTACCAGGCATGTAAAAAATGAATCTCCTCCTATCTCCAAGGGAGCTCTTAGGTGAGCATATTCATGGTTAGCTAAGAGTGTATTTTTTGAGAGGGATCTTTTTTTCTGTGCAGTAATTCAGTGTGGGCTTAAAATATTCAGGAAGGCAAGTTGTAAACAGATGTGCTATCATCCAGACTTTGTCCTTGACACTATCACCAGCTAGGCTATGTTAGGGCATTGGCCACAGTTGACCAATCAGAAACTGAACAATAACCACAGCTTTATCCCCTAGGCCCAAAGCTTGAGTGTAACTATAAAAACCCTGAAGCTATCTTCACCAGTGGCAAATCATTATTTTTTTAGTTTCTATTTCATTTATTTCTGCTTTGAGTTTTATTATATTCTTTCTTATACTGGTTGGGGTTTTTTTGGTTGTTCTTTTTCTAGTTCTTTGAGATGTGTGCTTAGGTTTTTTGAGTTCTTTCTTGTTTCTTGATGTAATCCAAAAGATCAATGAAACCAAAAGTTAGTTCTTCAAAAAAATTAATAAAATAGACAAACCCTATCCAGGCTACTAAGGAAAAAAATAGGAGAAAGCACAAGTAAATAGGATCACAAATGAAAGAGGAGAAATCATAACAGGCACAGCAGAAATCAAAAGAATAATCAGAAACTTCTATGAACAGTTATATGCAAACAAATTCAACAATCTAGAAGAGATGGACAAATACTTACAACTTTACAATTGTCCAAAGCTAGATAAAGAAGAAATAGAACACCTAAACAGACCAATTACAAGCAGTGAAATTAAA